AAACAAAAAATACAGGAAATGATAATTTGGAATTACACTAACCAATTCCCCAATTAACAATACCGTTGTATGTCAAATCTGTTAGCATCTAATACGGAACAGAATGGTCAAGATCAAACGTCGTATAACATATTTCTGATACCCAGAGATTGTTTTGAGTAATACAAATATCAATGTGCGCACGCCAATCTTGTAAATTACATATTACATCATTCTTATTGGTTTTTATCCGATAAAGTAAAATGTATCGTCTATAAATGATGTACAATAGATGATGAATCATCATGGATATCATACATTAGCTACCGGAATCACTGAATGCTAGTTCCCAGGGCTAGTACACATTTTTAGTCCCCGTTCGGACGCAGTCCGAAAACGGGGACTTATGTTTTGACCTCCGTGTGTCCGTGCGTGCGTGCGTGCGTCTGTGCGTGCGTCCGGACCTGTATCTTAGAAATGCCTGGACCAATCACAATCAAACTTCACACATACATCATACATGATATTATACACATGCACGTCAATTTGTTTCACGATCTGATTCAAGATGGCCGAATACCGACCATTTTTGTGCTAAAAATCATCAAAATCAAGCATTTCTCGGCTGTTTACAGATGGATTGTCAAACTTGGTATATACATTAGACATTATAGGACCTTGAAGCACATCATTTTGTTTTACGATCTGATTCAAGATGGCCGAATGGCGGCCATTTTTGTGCTAAAAATCATCAAAATCAAGCATTTTTCGGCTGTTTACAGATGGATTTTGTTCAAACTTGGTATATACATTAGACATTATGGGAACTTGATGCAAATAATTTTGTTTTTCAGATAAGATTCAAAATGGCCGACTGGCGGCCATTTTGTATTAATGAATGTGGTTCTCGTGCCATATCTCTGACTTGCTTTCACTGATTATGTTCAAATTTTAAATATTCATTATAAATCATGTCATAGATAGACAGATATATTGGTTTGACGATCCTATTTAAAATGACCAAATGGTGGCCTTTTTTGTGCTAAACAATCATCAAATATCAAGCATTTCTGGCATTTATGGATGGATTTCGTTCAAACTTGGTACATATATTAATTAGACATTACAGGTTCTTGATGCACATCATTTTGTTTTAATGAATGGGCTTCTAGACCCATATCTCCGACTTGTTTTTACTGATAATATTTTCAAATTTTAAATATTTATTATACATCATGTCATAGATAAACAGATATATTGGTTTGACTATCCTATTCAAAATGGCCGAATGGTAGTCATTTTTGTGCAAAAAAATCATAAAATATCAAGCATTTATGGGTGGATTTCGTTCAAACTTGGTACATGCAATTAGACATTACGGGTTCCTGGTGCTCGTCATTTTATTTTTCAGATTGGATTCAAAATGGCTGACTGGTGGCCATTTTGTTTTAATGATTGGGCTTCTAGAGCCATATCTCTTAAATGTTTTGACTGATTATATTCAAATTTTATATAATCGTTATACATCATGTTATATATATACATGTATTCAAAATGGCTGATTTTGAATGCTGTTCCAGAGCAATATCTCTCAATATAGACAAGTGCTTGTTTGACGATCAGATACAAATGTCAATCATTTTAATGTTAAAAAAATCATATTCCTGACATGATTATATTCCAGCTATATTACTATAAACAAAACTATATATCTTAAATTTGATAACTAACGGGGACTGTGCCAGTCATGGCTTGTTTTCTCACGTTTTGGTCAGCCTGTCACGACCGTGACTAGCAGCGTGAATTGTTGCGCCCTCACTGGTAGACTTAAAAACCCATGCTGTTAATGTTCGATTATCTTAAGAATACATGTGAAGACTTGTGATTTTTGTCATCTGTAGCAAATGACTATGCTATCCCGCGCTTCCTCTCCCGCTTTTAACGGAACCTATTGAATTCAGGGACTATTTGGATGTTTTAATGCGCGCCTTTCTCTTTTCAACACTGTGCAACAACAGTGACATTAACCTCAGACAACCAATTAATTTACTTATTGTTTGACTGTCTGAGCATGGACGGAACTGTGCAGCTAACCACATAGGTAATTTTTGAAACATTCAAAACAACGTATAAGCTTTGATGTGCCGTTAGGATTCCTTACTCTTTTTACACGCACACAGGTCATACCTTATGTTCGTAGCCTTGAAAGTTAGAAAAATCCGTAAATGAAATTTGAAAGTTAGAAAGGTTGTCCGTGAACATGCCTTGAAAGTTTGTGCGAAAATCTGCAAAGATGATTTTGTGGTGCCAGAAAATTGATTTTGGAAGGTGGGGTTATTGTTTTTAACATCAAACTGAAATTTAAAAAAAGTTATTACAAAAGTCCAAAGAATAGTTTGCGAAGCTGAAAAGTTTTACGCGTAATCATTGTTCACTTCTGAAGCAAAGGAAACTAAAATATGTTACTTATAAGAGTATGCCGCTCTCTATGTCAAGATTATTGCAATTGTTTTTCTGAACTTACTCTTTGACACAAAATATTTGCATGGAATGTCTCAAAAAAGTGTTTGAAGCTTGGAAAAGTTTTCCTGAACATCACATCTGGAACTTTGAAGAAGTTGTGACGAAATTGCAAAAGCTAGTTCCAGAAAGTTGACTGCATATTCAATGAAACTGTTTTGAATGTTACTGGGAAATTTGTCTTAAACTTCAAAAAATGAGAAAGACCTAGGTTTCCTAGTTTGAAAAAGTTACTTTGAAAGTCAGGAAAGTTACCCAGAACATCAACAAAGTCTATAAATCAGTTTGTGAGAACAATACACATGCAAAGTGGGAAAAGTTGGTTTGTCAGAAAAGTGGTTTGATAAGCAGTATCATCAATAAAACAAAAGCAAAGCCAGTACAGCTACCCAGAAAGTCACAAAAGTTGTTTAATATGAAGGACTGTTAGTCCCAAAAATGTGTAAGTCATTTGCAAAGTAGAAAAGTGAATGCATTCAGAAAACAAGCAGCCTCTCGACTGAGATAGCTCCGCTGTTAGCAATGCACATTTCAATTAAAGAACAGAAGATATCATTAGAAAATGAACAATATGCATAGTATCAATGCAATGGGACTTGCTGTTTTCAACAAGAATTCAAAAATATAATTTTTGACCATAAATGATTGTGGTTTTTAACAAGAAGAAAATATCACTTTTTACCAAAAATGACAAAAACATTCATCAAAATTAGAGAATTGAAGATATCATCATGAAATGAACAAATTTGAGAGTGGTTCATATGTAGTATTTATATATGCAATATCAAAGCAATTGGACTTATCGTTTTTAACAAGAAGTCGAAAATATCACTTTTTACCAAATATGACAAAAACATTCATCAAAATTAGAGAATTGAAGATATCATCATGAAATGAACAAATTTGAGAGTGGTTCATATGTAGTATGTATATATGTAATATCAAAGCAATTGGACTTATCGTTTTTAACAAGAAGTTGAAAATATCACTTTTTACCAAAAATGACAAAAATATTCACCAAAGTTAGAGAATTAAAGCTATCATTACAAAATGAACAAATCTGAGAGAGATCCACATGTAGTACCTATATATGTAATATCAAAGCAATTGTACTTGCGGTTTTTAACAAGAAGTCGAAAATATCACTTTTTACCAAAAATGACAAAAATATTTACCAAAATTAGAGAATTGAAGATATCATTACAAAATGAGCAAATCTGAGAGAAATCCACATGTAGTACCTATATATGTAATATCAAAGCAATTGGACTTGCGGTTTTTAACAAGTCGAAAATATCACTTTTTACCAAAAATGACAAAAATATTCACCAAAATTAGAGAATTGAAGATATGATCATGAAATGAACAAATCTGAGAGAGGTCTACCCAAGGTACATATACACCAAGTATCAAAGCATTCAGGCTTGTAGTTTTCAAGAAGAAGTTGAAAAAGTAAAACATTGACACTGACGACGGACACCGGACAATGACGACGGACAATCACTCATATGATAAGCTCCGCTCGACAAAGTCGACAGCGGAGCTAAAATTGTGTTAAAGCGCGGTAGTCGGTCAGGTCTCATATAAACAAAGATGGTGACTTTGACTGTTGCGCAGATCAACGAGTACAAAATGAGACGTTTCCAAGCTTTAATTTTCATGTTATTGGAAGGTATCGAAGGAGTCACCGGCGGTAATTAGTGCAAGTTGCGCCCAGGTCAAACCTCATACTTGTGATTTCCATTTGAAGAGCACATTGGATTGTGGGAAAATCAATGTTTATCAATACAAATGTCGCACATGCGCAGCGCGACAACTACTGCACTTTAACCTTCTGAATACAAATGTATTCAGCAAGCAATTAATACCCAGGTATTAAAATCTAATCATTTTGATTGGCTTGGCTTGTATATCAATATGAAGATCAAGCGTTTCAATGATACGCATTAGATTTTATTTGCTCAATATAAAACATTGAACCAATATGAGCTAAACCATCTTCAATTTATTTGTAATGAGCCAGGAACTGAATTCAAGCTTTGACGCATAGAAATCTTATTAAAGATCACAAAGAAATATTTCATTGTTTGAAAATCATAAAAATGATAGGAATATCTTTTTTTTTTCTAAAGTACTAGAATGTTTGACAATTAAGGACTTCTTCAAACTAATGTCTGGTGACTCAAACTTTCTTTTTTATGTGTGTTACGGACCTATGTTATTAAAGTATGCAAAGTTTGTTTTCAGTTCTACCCAAACTTATTTATTAATTCAAGTTTATGAACGTCATTTGACAATACACCCACGCAACATGTGGCAGTCCACTAGCAGAACTCACATAGATGACAGTGTCATTTTACCCAAATTTGAAATGGGTCACTAAAACAAATTATCTAATTACACCCATGTCAGATCACATATATCAGTACCATGCAAATTGTGCAAAATGCAAAATTTCAAACAATGTTGTACATGTGGTGAATTTCAGTCGGGCAGCAAAGTTTCAGAAAATGTCAGCTTTTATTGCAACAAATAAAACAATTACAGGATCTGTGTAATAAGAATGATAAACTCCAAATTCAAGTTTTTTCATCACAACCAATAAATCTGCGATTTCTTTATACAGTAATATAAATAAATAAACTTCCATTGATTATTGACATCAAGTAAGCATTCTAGAAATCATTATCACTGTCATTTAGTTCATCTTTTCTGATTTCTCTTCTTCTGTCGACATCAATTTCTAAATCATCACTATCTCCATCATCATCCAGGAGATCGTCATCATCTAAACTTTCACCAGACAAATCAGAAGCACTATCATCCTAAAAAAAGATAATTAAGAATTTAATTTAATTATTATGGATTATTCGAGTTGACCAATGCTGCAACAGGCCGGCCAGTAGGCTATACCAGGACACAAAGAGAAACTTTTTACCAAGCCTATATGCTTGTACACAGGAGATTGAATCAGGTAGAGTGTACAAGCCTAGAGTGTGAGGGTTTGGAACACGAAAAGGGATGAACCAGTTTGGTAGTACCTCAATCAATAATTTCATCTTTGGGTCATCAAAACGGAATATTGACCTCCACATAGGTAACTATTTGTATATTATATTATGCCATATGCAAATTAAATTATACTAACATCATCATCGTCATCATCATCGTCATCTTCACCACCACCCATACTTCCAAAGAGAACCTTCTTCCTTTCTCCAGAGCCAGCTAACCAAGAAATACAAAAAGTTTTATTTACACATCACTAACTACACACACTTGAATTTATTGCACAGTTCTCCATGCACAATACACATAGTAGTTTGTTAGTCATGGTAAAGTTGTAAATAGGATAATTCATATAAACAATGAATTTCATGAAATTTGCATAATAAGGACAATAATCTTTAAATAATTTCTTAAATGGCTGATAGAATAATTCCCAGTGATCAGTTGTAATATATTGTATTCCTACTACATATCAAGGAATGATAATGTAACGGCATCCATCAATTAGGGTAAACTAAGCATCTTATTAGTACAAAATTGAATTCACAATACATGTAGTTTAGTGGTGTTCTCAAACTGTCAAAGTTCAACAAAAACGAAAACCCATTTTGTTTGGAGAAGAGAATCATTTCTGATATATCAGCGAAGTAAGCATGTGATAAGCAATACAATTTTCTTCCAGATCACATGGAATAACGACCAAACAATCTGTGCCAAGTATAAATCTCACTCAAAGATTACAAACAGATTACTGTATTCACTGTTACATTACACCTACCTTGCGGCCTGGTAACTTTCCTTGTATTGGCCATTATTTCATCATCACTTGCGCTGTCACTAATTCCATAATCATCGTCATCTTCCACATCTAAGCCAGCAAAGTCATCCTCACCAGCGCCAAATTCATCAGTTCCACCCATCTGTAG